AGAGGAGACTGAGCTGACATGTAGCTCGATGGGACCTGTGTTTCTACATCTAGCTCCCTGCTTTCAGGTCACTCCCATATAGCAAATACTAAGCAGAAAGCATAGGTTAGAGTGGCAGAAACGCATGGACTTAATCCTAACAGATTTTTCCTCAACCGTTTAAAAAACAAAACCCAATCCTCTCATTTAAAGATGCAGAATGATTCCAAAGTTAAGCCCATAAGAAGTGCCACACTGTGTCAGACAGTGGTCCATCTAGCCCAGTATCCTACTACCCAACCCAGGTAACCAGCCCTTTTATTACTTTTACAGGCTTTGGAGATCATCCGCGGCTGCAAAGGACTGAATATAGTGGGATGTGACCTCGTTGAAGTTGCTCCAATCTATGATGCTTCTGGTGAGTCAAAGGAAACCTTGTTTAGGACAACAGGACAGGCTGACAGAATTGCTACACATGGTGCTTGTCGTTAGCTGTCTGGGCTAACATTGAGTTATGCTGAGCGGCTGCTACTTAGAGCCAAAATGAAATGGCAGGTTCAGAACAGGTTGAGTGTCCTCAAAATGCACAGTCAAGGCAGGATAATTATGATGGTCTCTGTGGCTTCAGGAAGTATGAGGCTTGGATGTATAACTGACTGCTGGGATTGCTACAACAATGGATATACATTAGTGTTTTATCTAACCTTGTACAGTGGTAAAGGCTACCGCTTTCTGCAGGTGCCACCAGCAGCGCACTAACGCTGGCTGGGAGTTGTGACTGTTTTGGCAGTGTAGATGTGGCCTTAGTCTACTGCATGATGTTTGTATGACTGTTCAGCCGCTCACTGTTAATTATTCTCTCCTCTGGGAGTGGGAGTAGAGGTCCTGCTAAAAGAAAACAAGGGTGTTGGGTGGAACTAAATGGTACAGATTTAAATACATTTGATGCTGTGGTTTTTCATAAGTAAAATCCTGTTGTACATTACGGCTTTTAGGACTGCAGCTCAGGTCCTGCAGATGATTCTGTGCAAGAATCAAGAACCACCTTGATCTAAATGGGGGTTTTTGCCTACTTGGGAGCATCTACACTAGACTGGCAACAGCATAATATAGAGATACTCAAGCTAGCACTGAACTAGCTTCATTAGAAGTAGTAACCCAATCACAGAAGCACAAAGCTCAGTGTGGGCTCGTTTCACCTGTTCCTCAATAGGCCAAATGAATTGACATAGAGTTACTACAACGTATACATAGCCCCGAAGCCACTTTCAGAACAGTGCCGAGATGCAACTGTAGGTACTGAATTGGAAATGACTCCTTGCTGCAGTGGTAGTAAGATGAGCCCACTAACTATTTCTGGCCTTTTCTTTGTAGGGAACACGGCCCTCATGGGTGCGAACCTGCTGTTTGAAATGCTGTGTGCTCTCCCCCAAGTGAAAACTGCGTAAGCCCTCCTATGGCAGGCTCCAGCTCATGCTAATGACATTACTGACACTCAGGACCTACCACTGTAATATATTAGCACGGCAGCGACCAAGTCACCTTCACTTTACCACAGCCTTCCCCAGCAAAGACTCTGTTTTTATTATGTTAAGGAAGCCTGAAGGGAACAACCTTGATCTGTTTTGCTGCTCCTTTTTTGCCCTTCTTCCCCCTGTGCAGTTAATGCAGAGCCTTTCAGTAGAGAATAAATGTCATTCCTCACTGAATAAAGCAACTCCAAGCTCCTTATTTGTGTTATGCAAGCAGATGGGATTGGCCAGTCCATTTGAAGGACCTTGGTGGGACAGGCCTGTGGATGCTTCATTGTAATAAAATAGCTAGCAGCACTCTGAGCTCTTCTTTCTGTATACACAGCAGCTTTTATCCTCTAAAAGGAACCCTCTTCATGTTCAAATTAAATCTAGGCAGGGAGAAATATGCAGATATAATGTAAATGGATGAAAATCTCCAATGCCTAGTTCTGCCTTAGGGTCAAACGTTTGTCCCCTCTCATAAGCATGGAAGGACCAAGGCACAAGAATTTCCTTTGACCCTCTATGCAGTGGGTCCAAATCATAGATGTTGTAGGTCCAGCTGCTACATTAGGAGATGACTCGGTGCCTAATGCACCATGTCTCAATGGTGGGATCCACTGAGGCAGGATTTGCCCTGGGGTTAGATACCATCCTTAGGGAGGGGATTAGGAAGAGTCACGAAACTTCAGAGTAGCTTTTGGAAAGTGCTGTGCCTAACTTAGCAGCCTGGCTGCCTGATGAAGGTAACCAGCCTGCTGCATCTGCTCCCCGAGTAGCTTAAAGACAGAAGTTGTTGGGTGGTTGTGTCACATCACACAGCTGTCAGTTCGTGTAGGTAAAGGCCAGGCCACCTCACCACACATTAAAATAGTTTATTTCAGTTGCGAATC